CGTGACTCGTGGGAGTCACCCCCACGTGGCTGCGAGACTGCCGTGGCTGGTCGGATAAAACCGAACACAAGCTCGCGTGGTGTGCGGGCCGTGGCCTTCCTTAATTGGGAGGTTGGTAACCTTTCTGATCGGCTATGGTGGACTCCGTGGTTCGCGGGGCGGGTGACATCAATCAATCAAAGAATACTTTGGCGGCATCATCATGTGCTTCCCGGCAAGGGGAAACCTCGGAGTCAGCATGGCAAGCCGATATCACATGAACCCGGAACTTAACCGTGCCGGTATGCCGTTCGTACAGTATCGCTGACGCGTACAAGGTTTTATTTAGAACAACCAATCCCTTTCGAAGAATTACAGAGGTAAAGTTTCTCCGTAATTTGAAATGTCCCAGAAAGGTAGGGCCATTGTTCCTCGGCTGCTCGGCAGCCGACGGCATCGGCTCGGAGCTATGGGAAGTACTTCCGCTTAGTCGTGCAGATTGACTTAGCGGCCCGTCAAATTTCAAAATACTACGCAGACCTGAAGAGCATAAAATGCGAAACGGGTAGAGGCTTAGTTCCCCAGAGAACTAGCCCGTTGTCTGCTAGTTTCGCTAACTCTAGTCACTCTCCGACTCGCTGCGCTCGTCGTCGAGTGCCTCCCTAACCCTAACCCAGTAACCTCCCTATCTGGGACGACGAGCCCGGCCCCAGCAACGACAACTCTGGCGACCACTCAGGCGCGCACCAGGGCCTGGAGTCTGGCGTGGAGTCAGGCGACGACTCGGGTGACGACTCCGACGTCGACATCCTCGGGTTCGCATCCGATGACAGGGAGGACAGGTGAGGGCGGTGTCGCATTCGCATATTGGTGTATCATTGTCTGTAGCTGGCTGCGTTGCTTGTCTGTCCCATGTTTCATGTACTTAGCAAATGTATGCATTGATATAGATTGCTTTGTCTCTCGTAACTTATGCCCTTGCTGGTGTGAGACCATACTGCAGCAGACACTCTGAATCATCGACGTCCGTGTCATATGCACTTCTCTACTCGTATCAGCCTGGATCGTCCCGGGACGATTTATCTCTGCGTCTCGCTTTTGCTTCATCTGTCCAGTTCATTTACCGCATACACATCAACTCGACGCCATTGGCACGGGCAACCGTCCAGGCACGGTTGCCCCCGCTCATCTGACGTATCTGACAGTCAACCGTCTCGAGACGGTTGCACTCACACACGAGCCTTATCGTCCCGGGACGGTCGGGCCACGCTTGTTGACTTCTCATACTTCGCACACCAGTCCTTCGGATCTGTCTTGTCAAATATATCTATTCTTCTCTTCTTCTCTCTTCTGTCGCCGCAGGTTCCCATCCATTGTTCTTATATACATCGCATCCTCCCCCGTTTCCCTCTCTCCCCTCTGTTTCCCTCGCGCTCGCTCACATCTACTTTCTCCATGCCTCAGCCCCAGCCTTACCCGCACATCCCCGCCGTCGCCGGGTACCTCAATGCGGAGAACATTCGCATGTTCATCGGGGATATCGTCATGGTCACCGTCGGCATCGCCCAGGTTCGTCGCGTTCGTCTCTAAGCCCATCACTTTCCTTCACATCCACTCCTCCCCACAGCGCACCAGCGATCGCATCATCTGCCCAATTCCAGGCAGGTCATGGTATTGCGTCTGCGTCCATCTCATCCCGGTGCGTATCGCTTCCCCCTCATCCGTCTCTCACTCACACGACCTCTAGGGTACCGTCATCCCACCTGGCGTAATGTACTGCCAGCTTTGGGCCACCGTCATCTCGCCACGGGAACTGCAGCACATCCGCATACGCGAGCTCGATCTCCCATTCGAGGCCGTCTGTACGTCCTTCCGTTCGTATCTCGCACCCTCCGCCTCACTTGCTCGCATCTCTTCTCCGCAGCTCTCAGCCACTTGGCCGCGGACATCGACAGGGCCAACGACCCCGCCGTCATGCAGCTCATTAACGACTTCCACCCCTCCGTCTGGCGTACGTGCCTTCCTCTTCTATCTTTCGTCCTTCGTCGCTCTTACTTACATCCTCCCTTATAGCACTCCTCGACCGCATCCATAACCCACCCCGTGCCGACATCACTCCCCTTGGCCCCGTCGATGCCTACACCCCCCGCTTCCCTCACGAAGACGCTCTTATCCGCAGGCCCGGTATGTTCTTTTCCTGACATTCCATTCCTCTTCTCCATGCACTAACATCTCCTCCCTTTCCCCTCCAACAGATCTCCCATTCATATTTG